GCAGCATGATCCCAGTTTTCTTCAGCTGCTCCCAGTAGCCCAAAGTGTGATCCCAGTTGCTCCCTTTCAACCCCAATATGATCCCAGTAAGCTCCAGTTTGATCCCAGTCACATGCCAGCCCTCCCAGTGTGGTCCCAGTTGCATCCAGTCTCTCTCAGTATGGTCCCATCTACCTCCAGCATGGTTCCAGTTGCTTCCTAGATCAGCCCAGTCAGTCCCAGTATGATGCCATTTGCTGCCAGCGTGCTCCCAGTTGCTCCCAGTCAGGCCCAGTATGGGGGATGATGTGCAGGGTGTGCTCCCAGTTGCTCTCAAATACTCCCAGTATTAGTCCAGTCCCTCCCAGTATGATCCAAAGATGAGCCCAGTGTGCTCCCAGTCCCTGCCAGTGTGAACCAGTTGTGCTCCACATGATTCCAGTTGTTCCTTTCACCCTTACTTTTGTTCCAGTCACTCCCAGCATCTCCCAGTGTAGCCCAGTTCTCTCCAGCATGTTCCCAGTCACTCCCAGTTGCTCCCAGTTGGGTTTTTGGGGGGATGTTTGGAGAATGAAGAAGTCCAAAGCTGAGCGGAAAAGGCCCCTCGGGGGGACATCGGGGGGGTGGCGGTGGCGGCTGCCGGCAGAGGCAGCCTGGAGGAGCAGAGCCCTGTGTCCCCCAGGAGGCCAAAGTGGGGAGCCCAGAGAGGGGGGAGCGCCGCCATTGGCGGGAGCCTCAAGAGCCTGGAGAGGGGCAGGGGGGACTCCTTGGAGCCGCTGCAGCGCAGAGCAGAGAATGAGGGGAGAAGGGAGCCCGGGAGCCCAAAAGGCCCCGGCATCCCGAAATGGGGAGAGGGAAGAGGGGGGAGCTTTTGGCATTGCTGGGACTCCCAGCAGATGGGGGAGGGCTGGGGCCGAGTAGACGGGGGATCCCCAGTCCAAGCGTGACCCCCAGCAGCTGGGACAGGGGGGAACCTCCCCGGGCACCTGCGGGATGGGGGGCGATGCTCCCGCGGTGCGGCGAGTTCAGGCAGCGCCGGAGCCGCGCGATTCCGGCCGTCCTCTGCTCCCGTCGCTTCCTGCTGCCGCTCCGCCTCTTCCTCCCTCCCTCCCTCCCTCCTCCTCCCCCCCCGGTCCCGGAGCCCTCACAGCCCGCGGGAGGAGCAGGGGTGGCGCCGGGACGGGTCGGAACGGAGCGAGGGGGGGGGGGCTGGCAGGAGTGGGGTGACTGGGCTGTACTGGGATCATCTTGGGAGCAGCTTCTGGTTGACTGAGTTCTACTGGGACCATACTAGGATCATACTGGGAGTGAGGAGGAGCAGCACGATGGCTCCAGCGCTGGGGCTGGGGGCTCTCCTGGGGCCCGGGGTGGCAGCGAGAGCTGAGGGGGACTTCCGGCACCGGGACTCTCTGATCGCCCATCCCGGAGCACCGAAGGGCCCCTGAAACCCCATTCCTGGGCGCTGGGATCCCCCCGCACCCCCATTCCTAGGCATGGGATCCACCCTGCACCCCCTTATCCGGCACCAACAACCCCCACACCCCCTTCCCGGCCATCCCGCCTCTCCCAGCCCCCAGAGCCCCCTTTTCCCTTACCCAGAGACCCCCTGGACCCCTATTCCTTCCTTTCCCAGCCCCCAGCCCCTCCTCTCCTCAACGCCGAGGACACCCGGGACCCCTATTCCCAGCCATCCCGGGTTTTCTACCTTTTGCTGGGAATGGGAAACACTGGGGACCCTTGGAGCTCCCTTTCCTGGATGCAGGAACCCCCTTAACCCAGCCCGTCCCACCTCTACCCACCGCAGCCTCCCCTTTTCTCACTCCTGGAACCCACAAACCCCGTTCCCTGCTCTCCCAGCTCTCCCGTTCCCTCTTTGGTTCCCCTATGCCCCCCAGCCCCGTCGGTGTCCCCCCAGTTCTCCCGTCCCTGAGTTCCCTGCCCTTGGCACTGTCGGAGCCCGGCCCGGGGTTCCCCCAGTTGGTGTCCATGGGGTCCCTGGCTGGGATTCCCTTCCAGCGGGATCTCGGCACAGCCAGGGCCGGCACCACGAGCAGCACTGGCACGGGGCCACCGGGGAGCTGCCACTGCTGCAGCTGCATCCTGCCATTCCCAGTTGCTCCCAGTTCCTCCCAGTGGCTGCGCAGTCGGCTCCCAGCATGCGCCTGGTAGCTCCCAGCACCCCCCAGACAGGGACCAATCACACCCCCTACAATCCCAGTCCAATTGTAGTTACTCCCAGTATGATCCCAGTCACTCCCAGTATGATCCCAGTCACTCGTGGTCTAACTCCAGTCACTTCCAGTCACTCCCAGTATGATGCCAGTGCTCCCAGTGTGATCCCAGTTGCTCCCTGTCAATGCCAGCATGACCCCAGTAGCCTCCAGTATGTTCCCAGTCACTCCCTGTCTCCCCCAGTATATCCCAGTCCCCCCCAGCATGCTCCCAGTCACTCCCACTTCCCCCCAGTTACTTTCAGCATGATTCCAGTTGCTGACAGCTGCTCCCAGTCAATCCCAGTATGATTCCAGTCACCCTCAGTGCGATCCCAGTCTCACCCAGCATGCTGGGTGAGATCCAGCTGCTGGATCCCAGCTGCTCCCACTGTGATCCCAGTATGATCCCCGTTGCCTCCAGTGTAGTTCCAGTTGTTCCCTGTTCCTCCCAGCATGATCCCAGTTGTCCCTAGAATAGTCCCAGTTCCTCTCAGCAAGGTCCCACTCACTCCCAGTTGCCCCCAGCATGGTCCCAGCTGTTCCCTGTGTACTTCCAGTCCCCCCAGTATGGTCACAGACATTCCCAGCATGTCCCAGTGTGCCTAGTACAGTTCTAGTTAGCTCAGAATGATCCCAGTCTTTCCCAGTTCCTCCCAGTTGCCTCCAGCATGATCCCAGTTTCTGGCAGTTGCCCAAAATATGATCCCAGTGGCTCCCAGGATGACACCAGCAGTACCAGTAGTCACTCCCAGCATGTTCCAGTCACCCCCAGTATGACCCCAGTTAGTCCCAGATACTCCCAGTGTTATTGCAGTCATGCTCAGAGTGACTCCCTGTTACTCCCAGTGTGGGCCCTGTTGCTCCCAGTCGCTTCCAGTATGGTTCCAGTCAGGGCCAGCACCTTCCCAGTCACTCCCAGTATGACCCAGCATGGGCACAGCTGCTCCCATGATCATCCTGTGTGGTTCCAGTTGCTCCCATTTACCCCTAGTGTGGTTTCAGTCTCTCCCAGTATATACCAGTTACTCCCAGCATGTTCACAGTCACTCCCAGTTGCCCTGAGTTGCTTCCAGCCTGATGCCAGTTGCTCACAGCCACTCCCAGTCACCCTCAGTGCAGTCCCAGTTGCTGCCATTATGACTCAGTATGATGCCAGTCACTCCCAGCATTGGCCAGCTCCTCCTACTGTGGTCCCAGTAGGATCCCAGTAGCCCCCAGCAAGGTTCCAGTCACTCTCTGTTCCTCCCAGTGTGATCCCAGTTGCCCCAGTATAGTCCCAGGTACTCCATAGATGATGCCAGTCCCTGCCAGCATGGTCCCAGTCATGCCCAGTTGTTCGCAGTGTACACCCAGTCATTCCCACTTGCTCCCAGCATGGGGTCCCAGTTCTCTCCAGCATGGTCCCACCTGTTCCCAGTGTGGTTCTAGTCACCCGAGTATGGTTAACAGACACTACTGGTATATCCCAGTGTCCCTCAGCATGCTCACAGGCATTCCCAGTCACTCCCGTATGATCCCAGTGCAGCCCAGTCTCTGGCAGTGCTGCCACTGCTGGGATCCCCCAGCCCTGTGTGCGTTCCCCCCTGGCGGATGTGCCGAGAGGAGCCCCAAGGGCTGGCATTGGCCAGTCAGGGTCCCCAGCAAGGCCCAGTTTGGATGTGCAGCCCCCAGTTTGCCCAGTTTGCCTCTCCTTTGGCCCGGGCCAGGTTCCCCCTGCCTGCAGCGGCTGGGAGCAGCCGAGAGCCCCGCACTGCCCATGCCGACCTGTCCCGGCTCCATCCCCGCTCCTGCTGCAGGCTGCGAGGGCTGCGGGAACGGGGCACCGAGGGTGTGGCTGCTGCTGGGGGAGGAGGAGGGAGGGAGGGAAGGGCAGGGATGAAGGAGGAGAAAGAGGTGGTGTTAGGGAGGAGGAGGGATGGAAGAGGAGGGGGAGGGAGAGGAGGGACAAAGGAGCATCAAGGAAAGGAGAAGGAAGCACGCAGACCTCAAAACTTCAAGCATCCCAGCTGCTGGGGAGATGGAAAAGGGAGGAATTTTTTTTTTTTTTTTTTTTTGATTTCTGGGACTCCCAACAGATTGGGGTGGGTGGGGACTGAGTAGACAGGGGATCCCCAATCCAAGTGTGCAAGTGTGACCCCCAGCAGCTGGGACAGGGGGAACGCCCAAACACCAAAGGGGAGAGACCAGGGACACAGAACACCTGGGAGTCATTTTCAGTGGTAAATCTTGGTGTTTGGGATGTTTTTATGCCTGGTGACTTCTAGAGATGTACTTAGGCAGAAGGACCTTCGAACTCTGTGTGCTCATCCCTTGTTTTTCCCCAAAGCAGGGTTTTCCATTCCCAAACCCTTGGCTGGATGGAGAAGGAGGCTGCAAGAAAGAGGAAGATGTCCCGGGACATCCAGGCAGGTGAGGAGGAAGTCAGTGCCCCTTTCCCCTCTGTGCTGCTCCATCTCCCAGCTCAGCACAGCCCCCAGCTGCAGCACAGCCCTGAGGGGATCTCGTTGCCCTTGCCTGTGGCACGGAGGCAAATCCCATGCTGTCCTTGTCCTTCCTCCCCCAGAGCAGGAGCTGAGCATGGAGAGCAGGGAGGACAAATGCTCACGGCAGAACCTGGTGGAAGAGGCTGTTTTGAGCGGCTCCACGGCGCAGGAAGCCAATGGGGAGGAAAATCCCCGTAGATCCTGCAGGAGGAAGGGCTGCAAACCCAGCCCAGGGTGCTCTGAGGAGGAAAGAGCCACCCTGAGCCAGGAAGGTGGACAGAGCTTCAGCCAGAGCTCAAAGCTGGTGGTCCCTGGGCAGCTTCAAGATGGGGAGAAGCCCTACAAGTGCTTGGAGTGTGAGAAGAGCTTCAGGTGGAGGTCCCACCTGCTCTGCCACCAGATGATCCACACCGGGGAATGGCCCTATGAGTGTGGGGACTGTGGGAAGGGCTTTGGCTACAGCTCCAACCTCATCATCCACCAACACATCCACACTAGGGAATGGCCCTACGAATGTGAGGAGTGTGGGAAGAGGCTTCAGTCAGAGCTGCAGCCTAATCTGCCACCAGATGATCCACACTGGGGAGAGGCCCTACAAGTGTGGGGAGTGTGGGATGAGCTTTAGATGGTGCTGTGACCTGATCCCTCACCAGATGATCCACACTGGGCAGAGGCCCTATGAGTGTGGGGAGTGTGGGAAGAGCTTCAGCCAGAGGACCCAACTGATCAGCCACCAATGCATCCACACCAGGGAGAGGCCCTACGAATGTCCTGCGTGTCAGAAGAGGTTTCACACCAGCTCAGATCTCCTCAAGCACCAGCGGATTCACTCAGAGGAGAGGCCCTTCCGCTGCCCCAACTGCAGTAAGGCCTTCAAGCACAACCCCCACCTTGTCAGGCACCAGCTCATCCACACCGGGGAGAGGCCCTACAAGTGTCCCCAGCTTCTCCAGGAGCTCTCACTTGACCAGACACCAACGGAGGCACCGCTAAGGGAGCCCTGCGAGTGCCCTGACTGTGAGAAGAGCTTCATGCACTGCTCCAACTTTATCCCCCATTGGAGGACTCATATTGTGCAGAACCCTGGTGACCCACATTCCCTGTGATCCGTGTACAGAAGTGTCTTAGGTTGGAAATAGGGGTATTCTATTCCTATCTGCTGGAGGTGGAACAGTTAGCTTCTGTTATTTGGGCAGTTTTCTTTATCTCTTCCACAACCAATCCTCCTGCTAGGGAGATATCTTCTGTTAATGGGCCATTGAGTCTCACTGCATGACTGAAAAAATGTACATCATCCCATTGTGAGACGCTCCACAGCGCCAGACTAGAGTCAAGCTCAACAGAGTCTTCTTTCCCCGCTGATTCTGCCTAGCCTGTTCCCTTGGCTGTGGTTTCACTGGATAGGTAGGAACATTGGGAATCTCGTTCATCCATTCAAGCACGTCACTAATTAGGTGACTGATTCCACTGTCCAGCTAAACCAGCAGAGGGAAGGGGCCAAGTTTATTATTAATACTAAACAGGTACAATCAATCAAGTTCTGCTCGTAAATATAAGTACTATATCTACTGAGGCAACAAGCGCTTTGGATGCCAGGGCCCGGGCGATCTTCTCCAGCCTTGTTTTAGAGAAACTGAGGGCTGAAAGCAGCTCCGAGTTCTTGCGATACCACTTTCCTTGAGTCCCCATGGGAAAGCCTACATATTCAATATCTACCCCGTTAGTCAGTTGCTGTATTTGTAAATGAAGGTGTTGATATTTCTTGGCCTTCTCAGCAGCAGCCTCCCTCACTGAGGAACTGCTGTGCTCATATCTCACTGTGACGTCTACCACTAACGCCTTAGAGCCTTTCACAAGGATTAGGTCCAATTTAAACAACTCATTAACATCATCTCTCAGGTGTGGCTCCTGAAAAACCGTCCAGTCCTCCTTCTTAGCTTCACAGCTAAGGGTTTCACAGATGGCATTATGTCATTTGATCCTGGCATCTTGAGTGATTGGACAGTTCCTGACAATGTGGGCTACAGTTTCATATCCAGCACCACAATGTCGGCATGATCGAACAAAGTCCTCATGCCTACCCCTAGCCAGGAATTCTCTTGTTGGGTAGACATTGGCTTTCAGTTGTAGGGCCGTTATAAGTTTTCAGTGAGGTATGCCCTTTTACTGCCTTATCCAGGCATTACTGATGTAATCATTCTCGAAATTTTCAACACCATGGTCCTGGGCTACCAGATGCATCCATCTCTGAAACTCAATTTTCCGCTAATTACAGGGTCTTGGATAGCAGACTTTAGGAGTGGGTGCCTCCCCTTCCGACAGGCTTCATCACCACCACCACCTTTGATCGTTGGTATAGGCTCCCAAATTGGTAGGATGGACTCTTTTTTTCCACCTGCTCTCAACCATAACTTTTCAAATAATAATTCCAGCTGTTCCCCTCTTAGAAAACCCCCCAGAGCCTCATCCAAAGACTGTGCCAATCTATGAAGTCTTCGCGCTTGAATACTTGGAATGCACCAACTTAATGATGCCTAAACCACTGTCTTTAAAACTCAAATACAAGATGGCATCACATGTACTTGGTATAAGTTCTGAGTATATTGACCTGAAGAGGTTTGAGGGGTCAACTCCCAATCCAATGGAGCGAGTCCACAAGTTTCTCTGATAAACCCAAGTCTGCAAAGCCAGTCCAGGGGTCAATCCATGTGCCAAGATATTTTTCTGAGCTCCCTGGGTCAGTCATATTAAGGGCGGGAACCATTTATCTTCAATGGGGGACAATCATTGATAGTATATGAGTCCATTGTTGGCCTGATGAAAAAGCTATGACATTTTTCCCGCTGAATCCGGAGACCAGTAAGTTCACAGAAGGCATGCAACAAGGTATTGCAACACATGCCATCCCAGGAATCACTCAGCAGCACTAAATCATCTGCAAACGCCATGGCCGTTATTCTCAGGCTACCATGCTGGAACCCCTGACCCTCACTTTCAAGCTTGCATAGAAGGGGGTCCATTGCCAGCTTGAAAAGCAAAGGTGACATAGGGTTGCCTTGTTTGACACCAGCGTGAATTTAAATGGGATCGGTCCTCTCCTTTTCAATGGAAATGTACACTTTGATTTTTCAATACATTTCCCTAACCAGCTGAACCACATGGGGATCAACCCTTCTCTGGATCAGACCCTCAAGTACATGCTGATGACCAGCGGTGTCAAAGGCTTTGGTGATGTCCATGAACACGACCCCCAGATGTCAATGCTCCTGCTTAGCGTTCTTAACCACAAGCTGTAACAACTTGAGGTTCTCGGCACAACCTGATGCGCAAATAAAGCCCCATTGCCAGGGCTTAATGGGACATGCCCTGGTCAGCCTCACCGTAGCAATCCTGGAGAACAGCCTAATCACGATATAACCAGTAGTGATAGGCCTCCAGTTATTGGTATCACCAAGTCTATCCAAGTCGGAAGACTTGGGTATCAAGACTGTCCGGCAGTCCCGCAATGCGTCTGGGATAGTACTGGTAACAAGCCAGAGATTGAAGATCTCAGTCAACAGGGAAAACTTAGGGTCTTTTTAATAAGATGACCCAAAGTAGTCCCATCTGGCCCAGGAGTGGAGGTTTTACACATCTTGCTCATGTTTTTCTCAATCTCTTTTTTAGTAATCAGGGCCTCAGATACAGTGTTATCCGCCTCCGCATGCGGAGGAAAATTCACCAGGCCACCAAACTCAACAGCTGTATCCCATCTCAACTTAAAGCGTGCATGGACAACACCAGATGATATTTGGCATTGCAAGGCTTTTGTGCTGTCCAGAATAATACACATGAGATGCCTCCTATGCAACTTGTACAACATCTGAAATTGAAGAAATTTCCCTCTCTTAATCTCTCTCTTTTGCATCCAATTCGTTGTTGCTTTGCATGCACCCTGACCACGGGATGTCTGCATTTTCTGACCCCTGGCTGTTTTCATATTCTGGCCAGGCCCACCCAGGATACCACGACAGTCTTCGAAAACATCGTTCACCATCCCTTGCAGATCTTGCCCATCCAAAACTTTCATGAAGGCCTCCCGATACCTGGTGAATCTGCCAGCCAATAATCCCGTTTGGATGGCTTCACAGTATTGGAGCTTCAATTGTCTATCCTTTGGTGATTTAGTGGACCTGGGACGATGTTCAATCACCATACCGCCTTCTGGCCCAGCCTCACCTTTCACGGAGGGACCTCTCCCCAGAAGGCGCCTTTTATCACTGATCTGCTTTGCCGTTTTAGATGGAATATGCTCCACAATAAGTTGGTTAATATTCTGACTACTGGCAAACTTCTCCACCAGTTGTACCAGGAGAGCCTCCTCCTCATCAGTCCATACCCTTTTATGGGCCCCTCTAGCTGATGACTCTTTGGGATGGGCGGCAACAATCTGTTCCAAATTCCTCACAAGGGGATGCATTATCTTCTTGTGCTGGCCCAGGCCAATCTTGGTGGCAAAACCATGTTGGCATACCTCACAGACCCATTTGCCAGTTGGAGCCACACACACCATCCCTTTACAACGTGGGGCATGACAGGCAATACTGTGGTAGTTAAGATTTTGTTTACCACATTTAGAGAACCTAAAGATGACCTTCTTTTGCCCCTGGGCCCTCTTTAGATTGTCAATCAGCCCCAACATCCTAGTAAACCAGGTCACACAACAAGGACAGGATGGCTTTCTCTCAGGGATGGACACGACAGGAGTTCTTATCGTTTCTCCATCACCACTGGACCTGGGAAGAGCCTCAGGTGTTCTTGGCTCTTCTGTGCCTCCGACTGAACACTCAAAATCCTCTTGAGCCAACCCTGATGGGGAGATCTCATAAGGCTCACAGAATTTTGCCAAGCCCTCCCATGCAACTCCCAGATGTATTCCACAACCCCTTATAATTGTGGAGTAACAAACTCCAAACATACCAGATTAAATCCCTCTTCCCTGGGCACAGAGGGTATAGATGGAACCTTGGCATCTCTGACCCTTAGATCTAGTGGGTCAGTCTGAGTGGCAGTCAATATATATCACAAAGCCAATGATTGTACCATCACATCAATCAGTAAGACAACAAAAAGACATGTCCAAGTGAGGATAGAAGTAGTTAGCAGCTGGCCCTCTCCCAGACTGCCACTAGCCTGTGGACAAGGCTTTAGGCAGCTGTGAAAAGACTGTGCCAACTTTTTGTTTCAGAAGCTCGTGAAACTATTGTTGGGTGGTGAGTCCAACGACAGGGAGGGCAGATTTTCACCCTCTCTCAACACCAGGACAGAATGTGACTCTGTTACCACGAGGGTATCCGGCGGGGCCACGAGGAGGCGCAACCACCGCAGCTACGCCCAGTTAGTAACTATGCCAAAGTTACTCCCACCTTTTACCCGTGCTTCATTGTATTTCTTCACTTTGACATTCGTAGCACTGGGCAGAAATCACATTGTGTCAACACCTGCCTTGGGCCTTTGTGATGCTTTGTTTCAATTAAACAGTCAGATTCCCCTGGTCTGCACCAGTTCAAAGCTGGCTGTTAGGCGCTGGCCAAGGTGGGGTGCCAACCCAGAGACACCCCCCCCCCCCGGGGATCCCCCCTGGGGACCCTCCCCAGCATGAACTGCTCATCTGGCACCAGCTGTGGCCACGCACGCGCTGGTCACCCACCGCATACATCCAACTGCCAGCAGAGGAAACGCACTACGCTCTTTTCACTCACGGTTCCTGTTGCATCGTAGGGATGAACCAGAAGTGGAAAGCTTCCAGCCGTATGGAGCCCCACACGACAGGCTGCAGAGGCCACTGAAGGAGAAGGTGGATCAAGTCAACTTGCTGAACTCAAAGCGGTTCAGCTGGCCCTGGACATTGCTGAAAGAGAGAAGGGGCCAAAGCTCTACCTCTACACTGATTCATGGATGGCTGCCAATGCACTGTGGGGCTGTTTGGAAAGGTGAAGAAAGGCCAACTGGTAGTGTAGGGGAAAACCAATCTGGGCTGCTGATGAGTGGGAAGACTGCCTCTTGGGTAGAAAATCTGTCAGTGAAAATCCATCATGTAGATGCCCATGTCCCCAAGAGTCGGGCT